AAAACAACCATTTTCATTTGTTTCAGACGGAACTATTCACATCCTTGTGTTATATTAAACTGAACTACCAATATTCACCACAGTTTGGCGCCATCTATCTTTTTCCTCTGATCATGGAGCAGCCGTCTTGTTTGGTCTTGCAATGAATCCTGGGATAGCAAGGATAGATAGGATAATCCGGACCCATCCTTCAAATTGGGCAAAAAGGACACATTTGTCGGCCGCATGAGGAGTCTTATAGTCCGACCAGACCTCGGCGCCACTCTGTGACATCACCGGCCTTCGAATCTGGCCCCCGGAGGACGTGGCCCATAAATTGGAATGCAGACAGTGCCCTTTGGCTCTAAAACCCCACCTTGTTCTCTGTAGGCTAAAATCAGATTCCTGCAAAAAAAATCCTAATTGAGCATCAAGACGCGCAGTGTGAATTCAGTCATAGTTCATGTCGTTCTTGCCCAAATCAGTGGTTCTCTGGTCTGACCATAAAAGTTGCCTAAATCCTTTCTGCTTTGCAGTCGAACCCTCAGTTTTACTGTTCATGCAGTTTCCAATGGATGGGACATTAGGAACCCCAGATACAATGACATTTTGTAACTTTATCCAGGTTTTGGACGATTGGAGATGCATTTAAAAATCTTGTATTAAAGTGCAGCTCAGGATGCTCTGAACTCCCCTATCAATGCTTTTTTTGCATCATGTTTTTCTCCCACACTGTTTACATGTGATCACTACTGCACTTTAATAAAATGGAAATGTCATGAGAGTGGTACAAAATGAAATTTCATTTTGTATACACCCTATGTGTACAAAATTACGATAAAAGTTGACTATTATGCTTTTTTTAGTGTTCAACAGTGCTTTATATAGATTCAGCTGCATGTATGTTTATATAACTATTGCTTCTAGTTTTTAAAGCTCATTCCACCTGATCACTGTGCTGTTATTTCACCATTAAAACTAAAGTCCTATTAAACGGTCAAAGCTAAAAGTGAATATGAACCAAATGGCCTTCATGCATTTGTATAAAGGATCAATTGTGTACAACTCTAATCTACCATAATGGTCCTGATTAAAAT